AAAATAATAAATAATAATAATAATTATTATTATTATTGTTAACAAAATAATAAATTATTATTATTACTATTAACAAAATAATAAATTATTGTTATTATTATTATCGTTATTATTATTATTATTATTATTATTATTATTATTATTATTACTATTATTATTATTATTATTATTACTATTATTGTTTTATCACTATTATTACTATTATTAACATTACTGCTATTTAATCACTTGAAATACCCATAATATGCTACATTGATATTGCATCATCGAATGAGCTATCATTAATTAAAGCTTATTTTAAGAACACAATTTATTCCTTGCGATCATTTAAAAAAATCCTAAAGCTTATTCTATGGTTAAGTTTTATTTTTGGAGAAACTTAAATAAAGAGACTTATTTCTATAATTACTTCCGTACTTATAAACTTTCATTTGAAAAAAAAGGTAGAAAATAAGTATTAAAATTGATTAATACCATATTCATAGATTAAAAGGGGAAATAACATTTTTATAATTACTTGATGAATCAATGTATGCAACAGCACAGATAATTGATTAGTTTTACCTTAAAACGATCATATAAGGTCTAGAAATTTCCCTCCCAAATATTTCAATTTCTTTTGAAGTATATATATCAAATATAATAATTAAGAGTTTTTAACATAAAGCAAATACTTTCTTTATATTTTTAAAAAACTTTTAATATTTTAACATTCTCTTTTTTTTGAAGAAACGAAATATAAATGTTTGTAATCAATTTTTTTTGAAAAAAAGTGAATCAAAATTTTTTTCATTTTTATCTTTTGATTTATAACAATTGTTTTTTGTTCATTTTATTCAAAAAACATCAAATTAACCTATGTCATTTCAGGATTAATTAATGTATGAGAAAAGGATGGAAATGATAAAAAGAAAAAAATGATAAAAAGCAAAAGTTTTCAAATTATTATTTACCAAACTATAAAATGTTAAATAATAATTTATTAGAACGGTAGAACAATAAACTAATTACAACACTAACAGCAGCAGGATAAGGGAACTAATAGAATTTGTCAGTATGTAAGTTTCATCATTAACAATATGATTATAATGCAATAGTATCGAACATCATTATAAATTGTAAGTTTTGCAAATTTTATGAACACTGTGTGATTTTAATTTTTGAAATTTTTCTCTTCCCCTTTTAAAAATTTTCATTTGAAAAAGTTCAAAAATTTGAATATTCCAGTAAAGTTTAATTCACTATTTTATCGGATTAGAATCAATTAGATATCATTGTAAAGTAGAAAGGGAAGAATCCAATACTGATTAAAATGATTCTTTCATCCGAATGATTAACCATTTCCAAGTCATGCTATCAGTGACAGTTTATACTAAGCTAAATAGTTTTTTGCATTATCATTCTTATTATCACATTGAATTTATTATCATTATCAGCGTTATCCTTTTTACATTACCATCCATATTACCATATTATTCCTGTCACCCCAATCATCATCATTGTTAATCGTTATAATTGTCAATATTATCCTTTATTCACCATCACCCATATTATCATATTATTACCTTTATTGGCCCCTATTACTGTTGTTATCAGTGTTGTCACTTTCACATTATCAAATTGTATATAAAAATATTCTTACATATTCTTTTTTTATTTATTTTTTCCAATTTTTTCCTTACTCTTTCGCAATTCTTTTTCTGTGCTATCACTATTACATTAATAGAATAATTTGTGCAGTTTAGATGCAAAACCATCGGATTTTTCACTTGTTAGCTTTAAATTATCATATCAGTATCATATCGAAATCAGTATCGGAAAATATCCTTTCATCTCTGTTGTCTATTGACATATTGTAATTTTTCTTTTTCTATTTTTCACTGAAACTTTCATATTTCATCAAATTTTATTTGCAAAATTGATCATACAATATGGAATATCATATAAATTTAGAAATTTTTCAGAAAGAAATTTCTAAAATTTAATCCATTAATTAGAAATAAATACTACAATAATTCTGGGAATTTTTGATCATTTTAGAAAATTTTTGACATATATTTGGAATTGGTAAAAATCCAAATTACTGTAAATTTTAAATAACTTCAACTAAGTGTAATAATGACTTATCAATATTCATTTTTTTTTTGATTAAACTTCAATTTTAGCCTTTGTTTGAAAGTTATAGCAAATATGCAACAAACCAGTCGAAGAAATGTTGAAATCGAATTGATTTCATTAATTATTAATCATAATATAACAGAGAAATTTTTTTTAAAAAAATATTTTTTTTGAAATGAAATATGTTTGAACATTTTTAATAAAAAAATATAATATTAAAGAATGTCTCAAAAATATTTGATAATAAAGAAAAAAAAAGTTCGATAAAAAGTATAAATTTTCTTAATGATATGTTATCATTTGAAATTTCTCAAAATACATTTATTATACTTAACAAGAAAATGAATTATTTTATTTGTTTATTAAATAATTTAAATGAACTTCTTCGTCCATCCATTCATCCCATTCGCCATTAACATAGCAAAGCAATTGAAATTTAAAAATGACCTCAAGCAGGGATGAATATTTAGTCATCCACTACAATATCCCATTCATCGCATACCTTACTCTTCTTTATTAATCACTTTTCCAATATATGCTTAGCAAATGCATATCATACATACATACATACATACATACATACATACATACATACATACATACATACATACATACATACATACATACATACATACATACATACATACATACATACATACATCATACATAC